ACCTAGTCTGTACCAACAGTATATAACACTGTATACCACCTAGTCTGTACCGACAGTATATAACACTGTGTACCACCTAGTCTGTACCAACAGTATAAACACTGTGTACCACCCAGTCTGTACCGACAATATTTAACACTGTCTACCAAATAGTCTGTACCAACAGTGTATAACACTGTGTACCACCTAGTCTGTACCGACAGTGTATAACACTGTGTACCACCTAGTCTGTACCGACAATGTGTAACACTGTGTACCACATAGTCTGTACCGACAGTATATAACACTGTGTACCACCCAGTCTGTACCTTGTCTGTACCGACAGTGTATAATGCTTTGTACCATCTAGTCTGTATCTAGTCTGTACCTTGTCTGTACCGACAGTGTAAAATGCTTTGTACCATCTAGTCTGTATCTAGAGAAATGGTTAAGATGACTGATGCTGTACATGTGGAGCAGTTCAAAAACACAGCTGTATTTATTTTTTTAAATATTTCTTGGTACTTACCAACATATCTATTTGCTGTCAATATATGCACATGTATTATTGACATTAATACAACTATTATCAGTAAAGAATCCTATTATCATACATGCTAGGTCTGGTTGTTCAAAACTGCCTACCTGTCAATATATCTAGTAACTATTTATTACCATCATGATATATTTTTAACCTTTATATCATTTGAAAATAGAAATGATGAGCAACAACACCACTGAATCCGGTACAAAATGTAATGTTTGATTTACATCCTAAGTGGATATTATTAGTATATTATTTGTCGATACATGTACCTAGGAAACTATATACTGCCCATCAATGCCTAAACATCAGAAGTACTATTTACCCATTGACTCTGTATGAGAGTCCTCACTGCTGGCAGAGTCACCCTGTAAGTCGACGCTGTTGGTCGCAGTCTCAAAGCTAACACTACAGCTGATCATCGCACGTGCTGTCGTCAGCGCATCCTGCCAAACCACATTACCTGTAAAATAAAAGTATCCTACAGATTGGAATGTATAAACACAGGTAAACAATCACAGAATTTCCCATTATTGAAATGTGTATAATCCTAACTTTGTTGTTTTTACTGTTATGTCTAATGATGTAATTCTAGGAGTTGTAAATCACTGTACATAACTTACATGTCTAATGATGTAATTCTAGGAGCTGGAAATCAACTGTACCTTACTTACATGTCTAATGATGTAATTCTAGGAGTTGGAAATCACTGTACATAACTTACATGAGGCATCATCAATCCACTCTATTTCCCCAGGGGAGAATTCCTTGAAGTAACCAACCACATCCTTGCTGCTCATGTCATTGACACCACGCATGTGGATGGCCTCGAGACGAATCCCACGTCCATCACTGTCCGGTTTGTCCTCATCCAAACCCAAGCTAAAACATTTCAAAACATCAGTCAAGTATTTTACAGAAATGTCTATTGGATAGTCCTGAAATAGTCCATACTGGAATTTTTCTGTTTACATATCATTGTAATCCTGCAACAAATCAGAAACTCTGTGACATCAACTGGGACATCGATACTTGGTATATGGGTGGATTAGTCAAGTGGATAACACTCCAGCCTTCCACGCAGGCGGTCAGGGTTCGATCCCTGAGGTCGTCATAAGCATGGATATTCAGGGAAAAAGTTTTTCTCCTGTCCACACAACTCCAACAACCCAGGTGGAGTATAAATTGGTCTGGGGTGGATGTTGCGGTATCTGTGTTGTAGCATTCAAGTGAGGTTGGCACTATAATTATGACGTTGGAAGCATGGTCCCCCATACAAACAGATCAAATCACATCTTAAGCACACACGCAGACATACACACATAGGGAGATATTAGCCAGGTGGCATAAGACTAGTAGTTAGCGCCTGACAACTGATTTGATTAAATTATATGCTAATTGTATTAATTGTATATCTATATACTGTAAAGCGCTTTAGAGTGGTTTATGTTAGCTAGATAGGGCGCTATATCAAATGTTGTACATTATTATTATTATCATTATATCAATCTAACATTTTCTTAACTATCTGTCCCTATGAAGTATCGCTACATGTTCACCTGTAACCCCAGATCCAAGAGTTAGACTGATCTTTATTATGGGAAAATCTCTGAAGCTCATTATAGGTTGCACTATATTATTAAACTATTTGAATACATACACACTATAATCAATACATATAGCTACCTTCTGTATATTTTTTTCAGATTGATAGCAGGTGCCTGTTGTTCCTTCTCAGTGACCCCAAATCTCTTGGCTCTTTCAAGTCTTTTCTTTTTCTCGGTCTGAAAAAAAATATAGAAAATGCAATGCCATACATGAACTTGAATGAGGTGAACACTTTTGTTCAAATATGAACTACCGCCTCATATGTAGATCAGACATGAGTAACTCAATAATGACAACTACAATGTCTATCCATTTTACAAGATACAAGTTCTGAGAGACATGTGTATTACTAACAGAGTAAACCTACCCTGGCCTATGTAAGGATCATAAACAAGAGGCCCAGAGAGCCTGTGTCGCTCACCTGGATATTTAAACATTGTTGAGGTGAGGTGAACTAAAAACTTATAAGTTTAGTTTTAAAATTTATGATAGTTTCATGAGTTCAGAGCTAGACAGGAAGTGTAGATATATGAATAAATCAATTTTACACTAACCTTGGTAAATAGGCTTTTTTCATCTTTCTTTAAAACATAGTTTAATTTCCTCTTATTGCGTCAAAAATGTTCACGCTTCAAATAGCTTTTACACAATTTTCCTTTTGAAATAAACATTTACATAATTACCTTACATAGAATACATAGATAGTAATATACTGAAGTCTCAGAATTTTGCTGTTCTGAATTTCCTGTAATGAAAATTCCATCTATGGGATTATAATTGTCATATGTATGCTTTGACATAAATATAGCTTGTTTCCAAACAACCATGCTACACTTTGCCATCTAAATTGTCTGTGACGAAGATTGTCTTCAGACAGCTATGCTACATTAAATCTATACATACCTTGTCTGTGACGTCTACACCAGTAATGAAATCCCCGTCTTTATTTTTATATACCCTAGTGTGTGCCTGAAATTGAAAACAATAACATCATATATATAGTGTTTAAACTAATACAGGTATATTGTTACATTTTTTTTAAGTATCCACTGGAAATCAGTTAAGGAACATTATTGCCTGATCATGTAGCAACAGATCATACGTAAATGTTGTCTGTGATAACTGAATGCTGTTTTGTACAGAATTGCTTCGTGTCATCAGAACAGCGTTTATTATTTATTATACATACAGTATGCAGCATATGTATTTGTAGAAAATTGCATCTACTCCTTTTTAGGGGGTACAAGTTCATGTGTATGTATTTGTCAATGGGGAATTTTGAAATCATAGCCCAAATTGGCTTATCTACATTTATCAAGATTTTAGAGCAATGTGATTCTTCACTCCAGAGGTAGCATAACTTCATGTCCAACCATTGTACGCATAAGGGGCAGATCTCAACTGTTTCTGTTATGACTTTGTGGCTAATTCTCATTGGGTGGGGCACGACCAAGAACCAATCCTGGAACCATGATTTTGTTCCTTTCTTCACGCCCAGCAATTGTAGTTATAAAGTAGGAATCTAAACAGTTTCCATGTCATAATCCATGGACCAAAATCTCCCTGGGTGAGGCCGGACCCTGAGGCCAATCCTGGTTACATAGATATGTATTTTTCTAGATTCTAGAAACATGATGTTTGACTCTTCTGGCTGAATGTGTATATGGTTGGTTATGGAATAGGGATCACAACCATTTTTGTGTTATGATCAATTAACTCATGTAAGTCCCCTGGGGTGGAATTGACCCAGAGGCTATATACTAGTGGTATCATGTGGTATTGTGGATATACTTCTCTCTTCATGCCCAGCAAAAATATGTAGCTTTAGGTGAGGATCTTGCATTGGCTATTTCTAAGATAAACCATAAAAGTCCTAAAGGTGGGGTTGGAACCCAGATTAAATCCTAGAACATATGGCCTGAGCAACTATATGTTTATGGAGTGGAGATCACAACCATTTCAGTGTTATGGTCCAGAGATTAAGTCCCAATGGTGTGACCAGACCCAGGTGCCTATACTGGTAGCATGCATGGATGTTGTCTCCTAATGATCAGCAAAAATAGTAAGCTTTAGGTGGGGATCTTTAATTGGCTATTACCAAATATATACTCTTTTGACCCTTTGGATAAGCTGGTGTACTAATAATAATAAATATACAACAAATCATCTTTGTGATTAATCCACCATAAACCCATCCTGGAGTATTTTAATCTGGACCATGTTCTCTCCCAAATCCAAGTATTGTTCAATCTCCTGCAAAGGCTAAATTGATGGTGTAAATTCAAGGTAAATGTATAGGAATACAGGGGTAATAGGGGTACTGGTGGAATACAAACATTTTAATAGCTGGTCGTTTCGAATTCAGTACAAGTACTTCTGTAAAAAAAAAATGTACTTTCCAAATGTCTTTTCAATATACATTAAAACATTTTTTTAGCATGTCTTTGACTATTGTTTCAACCCGGCAGTTTGTTAAAGTGCATTCTGTGTTCTTAATGTCGCTGAATTTATATTTAAAATTCTTCAGCATTAAAGAATTTTGCCAAAAAGGTGCTCAAATAACTTATTTTTAGGTACTGAATACTGAAACATCTAGAATTCTTTCGAGCGTCTGGAGAACATTCTTTTTAGCAAATTGCCAATATTTATATTATATGTGGTTTACTGGTTTAATACTGGACAAACATCATAACTCATCATGGTCATCATCATCTTCCTGGACAGGAGCTGACCCTTAGGGTATAGCAAAGAACAGTTTCTAATTATCGCATACAACGAAGCAAACATCTGCGTAAATCACCTTTGTGAGTGCTCGAGTTTTGTTTTTCTCGTTCCTGCCAAGGTTTCCCAGACGGACATTGAATTCGACCTCATTATCATCGCTGTCATCACTGGCGTTGTATCTGTCGTCGTCTAAGTCTTCCTCTTCGTGGATAGAAACGATGTCAGCATTTTCATCATCCGATTCTGTGTTATCTATGCAGATTTTTAGGTTTGGAAACTTATCGGCATCCGCCATGTTTCAAAACCCAAACGATTCCGGTTTGGAAATTAGCCACGCTAGATTTGTAACGACAATTTTGATTGGCTGTTTTGAATGACAAAATTTTCGGACTTCTCTATAGCTAGTTCAATTTTGAGGAAGAAGTCTGGTGAATACCGAGTGACCAACATGGCGAGCTCCACTGCAGTTGTTGGAACAAGCATCTCAGTAAGATGTTTTTTGTTTATATTGCCTTATGTTTAATTTCCACCGCTACATTGATTTAAAAATTCTTAATTATTCATTTTCCATGATCCTGTATGTTTGGTGTCCAAAATGCAAACAAGGAGCAAAATACCCACATAAGATAATTTTCCCTAGAAAATATCAAAACGAAAGTGTGCCAATAAAATGGTCTTCTATATATATATATTTACTTATTATATTTTGCATATAATGACATAATTCACAGTGGCATTTTTTGACATAGTTAGCTCTGTTTCGCCCTAAATCCCGTTCGTACCACAAGTCGTTTCGCCCTAAATCTTGCCAGAGTTTCCTCTGGCCCTGAAACCAAACTTTAAAAGATATATGTCTGAGTGTGGGTAAGACATATACAGCCAGTAGTATATTTGTCTCTGGTCTGGTGTCAGGGCCAGAGGAAATCGGACTAACCTAAATCCAGTTTGCCCAAGATGTTTCACTCTAATATGAATATACATTGTTAAGTTATAAATATTTGTTGAAATGTTTGTAATTATTAAAAATCTTACTATTTTCATGTTTCATTAACAATTGTGTTAACATTAATAATAATAATATTTATTCATGGAAAAGGCAGATAATACAGGTTTATCACATTTCGCAGATTGGACATAAATATATATATAATCACAGATGTTATTTTATAAGTTATTTATGCCATATAACTAGTAATCAGTCAGGTGTTAAAACTGGATTGGATTAGATTAATTTAGGCTTTTACCTGTGATGACCCATACATATAAAGCCACATATGCATTATGACTTAATTCCAATGGGGTCCCTTGACAGGGTCTTGTTGTCGGGAGAATTTCATGTCGGTGTAGCCATATTGTATGTTTAGATCTGGTCGACCACGTACAAATCTATAACAAGTCTAATGACAAAAAGGACTAAGGGAGACCTAGAAAAACTTTAAATCGGAATATAATAGCCTGTTTACTGTTACATTGGTGCTGTTGGTTGTAAATACAATGTTTTTGCAAAGAGTGTTATAAGAATATCTCCTTTGTGTTTCGGCAGTAGAAAATTTGGCAAAGAGGTGTGGCCTCATTTGCATACAATATTTGTCTACTGTTCATTTGACAGACGACAAAAAGACTGGGTCAAGAATGAAACATTTCACTGTTTTTCAGGTATAGATTGGATCTCCAAACTACAAGACGAACATTCTTAAGCAATAATGAACTGTCTGGTCGCCAGTGATCGACCCAGTCCATTTCTGTTAAATAGTACATGTTAGTACACCTGTTTTTCTATATATTTCTCTGTTTTGTAGATACGTTTGAAAAACCTAGCTGTCAAATCCATTGCCCAGAGATGTGTAGAAGTGGATTCCATCATCAAGTCAACAGGAGGGAAGGTTTGCTGGTCTTTTATTAATAATTCCCAATCTGAGAAAAATATTTTGGTTCTGATTTTGAAACTTTTTATGATATATGCATTAAAAGCTCTATTAGATAAACAGAAACTCTGAAAAGTAAAACTTATATAAGTCTTATATACTGTTAGGAAAGTCCAATTTCAAGCATATCTATTAAATCAACAATGAAAACATTGAATTTCATAAAGTTAAGATCATAATGTAAACTTAAATATGAAAAAAATACCCCCTGAGAACAGATTAGTCCCTGGAAGCATCTGAATTTGTGTATTTTCTTAATGAAGATCTAGATCTAGAGCTATAAAGAAGATTTCAATTGAGTGATTTCGTTTTGCAGTTTTGCAGATACATTCTTATTTGGTATAATGTTATGACTAAAAATTAAGTCTGAAGCAGGAATTGTAGGCTGAGGTACCATTGCTTCAACCTGCTTGTAAAGAAATCATATTAGAATTATTTGTACTGCTCATTGAAAAGTTAGAAATTGATATGTTGCAGCATTGTGTGATCTGTTATAGTTATCTAACTTTTGCATCTTAAATTGATTTTTTATGGTTTGCGTAAACAATAATGATTATGGGTTAAATTTAAGTTAACGATTATTTAAATCTGTCTATTTTAGTGGAATATTTAATTTAAAAAAAACTATGAACAAATGTCTTAATTTCTGCACAGGAACTGAGAAATGCCCTCCCAGACCTGCTAGAGCACATCTTTGGCCTTGATACCGAGCCTGGATGGGGACTGGACATGCTTTGTCGTTCCAATAACACACATGACTTTGATGCAGTCAGGAAGCTTCTAGCCCCTGAGGGTCCTCTTTTAACACTAATAAGTAGTCTACAAGTGGACCAGTACATAAGCTATGAATTTCCAACAAAATATTTGCCTGTAAGTATTCTTGTTGATTTTTTTATTCCCCCAGAGAGAGTATCTTAATGTGGATTGCCAGGGTTAGGTAGCTCTAGATTTGCCCCACTCACAACATATGGCCTTGTTCTGTTACTTTGTAATTTTAAAATCTTATTTATAGGTCTGACAGAATATAGGGGAAAAGTGTTAATGTGCCACAATAAATATATTGTGATACAGACCCCATTATATTGCCTCTCTATAGTCATTCTAAAAGAGTATTGTTACACATGTTATCTTTTATTTTATCACTTCATCACATCGCATTTATTACGTGTTTTGGTCATGTAGATGCTTGATGGAGAAAGATAACTTTCAATCTTTTTAAACACCTGTGAAAATAGAAATTTCTCAGAAATGTTTGGTATTCTACACTTTCATTGAACTTCGTATAAGTTTTATAAAATTGACGGAAATTATCCTATGATGAAAGGTAAGGAATCGCATCATACCTTAACAAAATAGTATTTCAGTCACATATCATGGTAGTTCAGTACTTATGCTTATTTATAAGTACAGGTATAACAAATTAATTTCTAAATCTTCCATGGATGATCTTTGTACCTAGCTTTACTTTGTGCAAACATTATCATATTGATCAGATTCATAGCAATGTTTTGTAAAAAACTGTCGCTGAAACATGGTAACCATGATAACCTTGGTATCATTTTGTGTAGGCTCCTACAAGGAACATCATTGAAGAAGGAGGAATTCCTCTGTTTTATGCTAATAAACTACAGTACCAGAACTACGGACGACCGACAGTAGTGCTCAGTATCCTTTTACCAGAATTGAAAAGATTTACAAAATGCTAGATATACATGTAGCAGCAAATTTTTTTTTTGATATCCATAAATTTCTTATAACTGCAAGTTCAATTGATTTGTCTTTCTCTTTTGATCCATTAAAAACTAAAATAATGACCTGACCTTTTGTTTGTGATCTCAGAGTTGGTGATGTTTGTGTGAGTGCCCTTGAAATAGATAACCTTGACCTTTGTCAGATGCATTTGAGTGCTATCTGTTCCACTTTGTGTATTGCCTGGTGAGTCCTGCCTGGCAGAAGAGAAACCCGTCTTGGAACACACTGACTGACTGCCTGTATCCCTGTCTCATAGACGATTACCTTAGCTACTTCCTGCCACTACATAAAGACAGCCTGCCTGCAATGCCCCACACTATCTCTCCCATGCGCAGTCCAATGGCACACTCCATTATAGGGTATGTATGCATTTCTTTTACTGACCCAACACACCCTCCCATCTAAGATCTTGCTGTGCTTCTCATATCTCTCATCTCAGACAGAGATATCCCATGTGGTACCCTTTGCTAGATATTTTTATCTCGTCCAATCTGTCTGACACCTTTACACAAATTGCACATGGTGATATATTCAGTTGCACTCTAATGAAAATGAATAACCTGCTTTGAATGTATTCTTCATATTTGTCTATGTTGTTTTGATGCTTTTAGATTAACAATTTTATATATAAGGTATAATCTACTTGGAAACATGCATTTATTCTGATATTAACATACTCCACTTTTATACACAGAATTATTCAAACACTATTTAGTAGGGAAGAAGCTATATTACTTTTAGGCAGCAGATGGGATACTTGTAAACTGCAGTGAAATAAAAAAAAAAAAATAACTATTGAGGTGTGAGAAATAACTGAGCGAGATTTAATTATCTCAGGTTCAGTTGGGATTATGGTACAGATTCTGAGTCTTAGAATGAGGTTATCAGATCTTGCTTAATTACATGTAATACATTTATCTTACCTGCTATGTCCTACCCCATCATAAGGTTTTATTTTTCTCACCCATCCCACACACTATAGAACACATCATTAAAGATTAAGTACCCACCCCACACGTGGCAGTCCGACATCTACCCCTCCCCCAAGTCTGATCTGTTGCACACTCCATCATAGAGTAAGTATATGTACAGCCTTCTCCCACTCTTCACACATTTGACCTCACATTTGACTCTTTGTTTAACAGAGGAAAATCACCCAGTAATGTGACACCACCCAAGACAAGGTCAAGGTTAGGTCTACTGAAGTCTAGCTTCACAACCATGCCTAAACAACACACACAGGGCTCACCCGTGTTTGGTCAGAGTGAGGCAGAGACCTGGCGCTCGGAAACACTGCTCCAGGTCAGTTATAATGGGGATTTCATGTTAGCAGTTCTTTAACAAAATTTCTGAAATATGACACCGTAAATAATAAATTTTGTTTTAGACATAAGTTTTAATGTGAATGACAGTACAGTTTGTTTGCTTCAGCATTTCATCAGTAACTCTTAATAAAACCAATCTTTGCATTTTCATGTGAGGTGTATTGTCTGATGCTGTTTATTGATTGTAATAACAAATGAAATCTGATACTTGACATGGAAAATTAGTTACATGATAGATATGTATTACATTTGTACATATTTTGATGTTCTGTTACTGTCATGCTATTAAATATAATTGAAGCTATTTTTTCCAGACTTTAGTTGAGTTTTGGCTGAATCAGAACCCAGTTGAGGTTGAAAGACAACTGCTGACAGGCAGTGCTATGGTGGGTATATTGAGATATAAAATATATGATATTTAATCGATTCTGCTCTTATTAAAACAAAATGTCCAACTCCTTCAGAAACACAGATTTCCATTAAATTACTATTTGATCTTTTCAATGGACATTCATATGGCGTATTCCGGAGTCCAATAATAATAAATTATTGGGTGTGCATGTCTAACCATGAAATAGCTGTTATAAATGATTGATGTGATGTAAATCTGATAGAGGTATTTATCACTGTAAGTAGTACAGCATGTAGCTGGTGACAACTGTATAGCACTGTCTATTTTCCCCACCTCTACCGTAGACCATGTTTGCCCCTTCCCGGCGGCCTCGAGGACCATTTGACTATTTGTATGTGAGTATGACGTGTGGATGACCAGCCTGAACCACAATACCCACATATTATACTCTTGGTTTATTGTCATCCTTTTTGTTTTGTCAATCAGCTGTCCATGATAGACTGTAAGACACAAAGTATTAGTGCAGAATTGTTTAGCTGACAATCAGTTTTTTTAAAGTGATGTTGATAACACGATGTTAAGAGTAGAATGGTCTCCATTGTCTGATTGAACAGCATGGCACTATGTAACTGTGTTTCCCTATCATACTGCTACCCACATGGTATCTCTTACATAGGTATTCAATGAATTTCATAGCAAGCGACTTTGATCATCAACCATTGACAGTAACGAGGCTGTTCCATCTGATGTGGTTATATATGCTTATAAACAACCAATCACTGCCTTGCTTTCAAATAAACATGCATGCGCAGGCGATGTCTAGTTCCTGGTCCAGGCAAAGCAAAATGTAGATAGAGCCACAGTCTGCCACACATATGCATGGTAGCTTCTTGTTCCTCTGCACAGACACATTATATTGGAGCAAATTGGGTTCAATTCTTTTTGAGGTAGACCAGGGTCAGTTTAGTTGATGATCAAAGTCGCTTCAGTAACATCAAGTGCATCCCTCTGTTTTAATTGTAAAGAGTATGCCACTTCAATAGATAAAGTGAAAGACTATGATTCTTTCAAAAATTTACCGTGGAAAAAACTGTAGTGAATTTCACACAATTTTTAAACATAAAATCATAAATAGGAATTAGCTGGACTGCTTGAAATTGAACCTAGAAAAATAGGAATGAAATATCCAGTTTGACAGCAGAGACAAAAATGATGACAAAAGCTGCATGTTGTGGGGCTGAATGGTGAGACCAGTGTAGTTTTATGTCATTAGACTGTGGCCAGCTGGCACTAGTGTACCTGTAGTTAAACCACTGAGTATGTAGTTAAACCACTGAGTATGTAATCTTTGGATGTTGTACATCTTTGCATTCAGGTTTTATCCTGTTACTATATGATTATTTTTGCATTTATTCCTTTTATACATTGTATACTATTATGATTATATTAACTTTGCCTTGTTAAGAGATCATTTTTTGTGTCGCCTGCGAAAAGCTGGTGACACATAGCTATTTCTATGGCGGCGGCGTCCGCACAGAGGTTTTCGTGCAATAACTTGAGTTTCCTTGGGCCGATCAAACTCAAAATTGATGCAGTGCTTCCTTACCAAAAGTGCTTGCTTGGGATTGCTTTTCAGGTCCAAAGGTCAAGGTCACTGTTACTATAAATAGATAGCAAGTTCCTTAAAGTATTCTTCCCAGAATAACAGATTATATAACAAAATGATGCCATCCAAAAACATAATCTATGATTATTGCTTACTTTTAACATTACTTCTTGAAATGAAAAGTGTATCTATTTCTTCGTAATCTCCCAGCTTCCTGCGCAGGCGACACATCCACTTCCGTGGAATTCTTGTACTAGTTATTTATTATTTTTTTGTTCATTACCCATTATGTTGGTGTAATAATTTTTTGCTAGTTGTACAATTTTTTTAATGTTGTATGATATCATGGCTCCCTGCTGTCCCTCCGTTTGTCTGCTGGTCGGTCGGTCCGTCTATCTGTCCATGGATAAAAACCCTATCTGTGCGACGAGAGCAATTTCAACAAAACTTTTCAGTTTTGCCTTTTTACACAAAAAAAAGTTATTGCGTTAATTGTGCTTACGAACTCTGTCCTTACAAATTCTCTTAACCTATCTTACTTATTGCAAAGAAACTTTCTGAGAGTGATACAAGGGAATTGGTGTACTATGCCTGCTTTAAGTTTTGGGATTTAAAATGGCCACTGTGGCCTCTGATTGCTGAAGCAAGGTTAAGTTATATGAAATTAGACTCCGATTTTCTGAAGAAGAAGAAAGTATGTATTTTAGCTGAAGTTCTATGGGACTGGTTTTTGATACTGATGTCTAGCTTTTTTCATATCTTGTTACTCAACATCTTGTATAGAACACCAAAAATATGATTCTGCACATTCTTCTTTTTGTACTGCCTATATTGAAATGCATGCAATTGTAGATAGTTTTTATATTCTTACTATTTTTTTTTACATTTTGATAAGTTTTAAATGTTTACTCCTCTTTATAAGAGTTATCCCCCCTCCTTAAGTGTTACCTCCCCTTCTTCCAGAGGAAATCACCACAGTAGTCCTCCATATTCATGTTGATTTTCTCCCCTGAATGTGAAAGTATTTTGAGCATCTTGTAATAAAAAATGCATAACATTGACAGGATATTTTTTACTAGTAATGGTTGTGTGTCTTCATGAACAGCTTCTTGATGCCAAATTTTTGTTACTGAAAATATATTTGAAATAAGATTTTTTCTACACTTTTTTAGTATTTCTTTATAATTTCCGATTTTAAGAATTTCTTTAAATGATGTCATCTTTTTAACAAAGTTTAAAATAAAATAAATCACTTTGCTTTAGCTTTTCCAATGCACACCAATAAGAGAACATAAGTTACATGTTTACATATTTATTACATTCTTCCAAATGAAATATCAGAAACTGTTCGTAACGGAAACTCAACGTTCACTGCAGTTATATACAGAATGTTGTATTTTCACATGCAGATGAAGGGATGATACAATGGGTTATTGTTGTGGTTCACCTTTGCTACATACTCTCAGGTATTTTCTTCACAAACCATTGAGCACATTTTTGTAAACAAATCTCTCAGAGAATAGTAGTAAAAACAATAGAAGTGTGTTGGTAGCCCATTCAACAAATGTTGCGCAGTCTTATTGACATGAGTGACATCATTAGAATATGATATCAGATATAAGGCTTCCTACTTCTCCCCCCCCACCCCCTCCCCTTTTTTTTATTCAGTAATATTTTCTTTGTTTTACTTTAAAAATGTAAATTTTCACTCATGTTTCACACTTGTGAAAATATTGGTACTCTGCCATACACAAGTAATATACAGTATATATGCTATTTAACTCTTATATCCCTTATGTAATGCACCTGTATTCAACATTCAACTTTTTTATTTTTTAATTACAAATGTACTAACATGAATACTGATTGGATACAATAGTTTTTTTTATAAAAACATACACCTATATACACATTATATGGGGTTTCCTCTTTGTTAACTTTATTTGAACAATAGTGTAAACTTGCTGCTTGTTTCTCCTTTTTTCTGTGATAAATAAATCATGTTATATATCCCAGTCATGTGAGTTCAAAATGAAATATAATCTGACAACTAATTTCGACTAGCCATTACAATATTTTGATACAAACATTCTGTTGCATCCCACAGAACGCAACTTTTAATAACAGTAAAATAATGTGTCACGAGAGATTCCAGTATGATGCTTGTAAATTAATTTGATAACAAAGGACTGGTGGTTTTGAGAGTTTTAGTATACAACTACACTTGAAACTTAAATGCTTTTGTATATATATATATATATATATATATATATATCGGTAAGTTTTCAAATCATTCTTTTGAACAGTATGTAGTTAAAGCTGTTGATTTCCTGACTTATCATAATGAACTGTTAAGTCATTAACTACTCAGCTGTGTAGCTATAAATATCTGACACATGTACATTGTATACAGAGTTTTACCTTAATGATGACTGACTTATACATTCTCTTTGTAGGAACACTTCATGCCGAGTAAAAACCACACTCGCCTTGTACGCATGCTCATCAAACATATCCATAACTTTGTCAATACTGCGCCCCACGATGTGATGACATCATCGTACCAGACCCATCTGGTGTCGCCTCTCGATGAGTTTAAAAAGTAAGACAGCCGACACACCAGGATAAGTCTTCGAGGTTATCCTACACAGTCTGCCAACATCCTCCTTTTCTTTGTCTGTCTCTCATCGGTTAATGGATAATATTTTTCTTAAAGTCACATGCTACGTTACACATTATACCTCTGATTTGTGTGAGAGTTATCTTTTCTAAGGATGAAACGCTTGCATTTATACTCCCAAGTCTGTATTATGTGTCATGAGTTGTGTAACCTTTAATTATCATTTTTGGAATGGAGACATAATGATTTTTATCACTGTAGCTATATATCCCAAGAATACAAACAGTTTTGACTTTGATAGGTACTAGGTAATGTGTAGGTCAAGTTTAACACTGTAATTTACCAGTAATTAGTGAAGGTACATCCTTAATGCTGTTACCCAGAGATTGATTTCATGCTTGCTTTTTGAGAAAAATCTTCTGTAAGAAACTTTTACTTAGAACCTAGAAATTGTTGGTACATTTTTGTATTAAAATACATAAACTTGATGACATATTTGTCTCCTGGTAAAGAATGAAATAATAAAACATCAAATATTTAACAAATTAATTTTGAAAGTTCCCAGTGGTTCATTAGCACAGTTTTTACTGTAAGTTCCTGATACCTTCTTCAGCAAGGTCAGCAAAGAAAACACTTGATGAAGTAAAAATAAGCATGAAGACATTTTATATTCTAAGCCTTGTTACAGGAATCTAATCCCACACATCATCCAGAAGAAGTTGTATGCCTTCCTCAGACACGGATTCGACCGCTGGCCTCTGGATTCATCTTTTAGGCTGGTGAGTGAATGAAAAATGTTGGCACCAACCACCTTTAAACAAACATTGTACATGAATAAACAAACCGTGTGTGTGCAATCAGAACAGCTGACCTATCTATAAAATGTTTGGGAGTAAGTAGATGTTAAATGTTCCACAGGCATGACAAGCTAATTGTTAAAACCTTTCAACAATTATATATCAGATCACCATCTTTTCTGCATAAAAAAAAGCACCTTGACCTGTTTAGATGCTGGAGACTTGGTTGACGTACATCCAGCCGTGGCGCTACATCCCGAGTACCAACAACAACTGGACCAAGCAACGCCGTGATAGTGACTCGGATACCAAGGCTGTGGATGAAATCCGCTGGTCAGTATCTAACACTTAACATTGATGTAGAATCTTTCTCTGTCAGTACCATTTAGGGTTGAAATATTTATTCTAGGTATTACGATGTATTGCCTTTGTTGTTTAGCCCTGTGATATAATCTCCCTTGGCCTTTAGTACATTATTATCTGCCTTATTTTGACTGTAAGCACTACCTCTATTACTTGCCAGGCACCCTAGGTAATATTGCCTTCGATGTTTAGCCCTGTGATATTATCTCCCTTGGCCTTTGGTACATTATTATCTGCCATATTTTGACTATAAGCACTACCTCTATTACTTGCCAGGCACCCTAGGTAATATTGCCTTCGTTGTTTAGCCCTGTGATATTATCTCCCTTGGCCTTTGGTACATTATTATCTGCCTTATTTTGACTGTAAGCACTACCTCTATTACTTGCCAGGCACCCTAGGTAATATTGCCTTCGTTGTTTAGCCCTGTGATATTATCCCCCTTGACCTTTGGTACATTATTATCTGCCTTATTTTGACTGTAAGCACTACCTCTATTACTTGCCAGGCACCCTAGGTAATATTGCCTTCATTGTTTAGCCCTGTGATATTATCCCCCTTGGCCTTTGGTACATTATTATCTGCCTTATTTTGACTGTAAGCACTATTACTTACCAGGCACCCCTTTGTGGAGGACAACTTGCTGTTTTACACTGTGCTGTTTCAAGAGTTTCTGTGTCGCGTGTTCCGTATGGACCTCACCGCTCCCATCAATGGCCTTATGTTGTACAGGGTGGCAAAGGTAATCATTGAACCATTGTGGTGATGTTGTACAGGGTGGCAAAGGTAATCATTGAACCATTGTGGTGATGTTACTATCCTAAACTAATCATTACTTGGTCCACTGTAGCTATCAACTCAAAAAACTATGTAAATGACTCCTTAAAGCTAAAATATATTTATATGTGATTAATTAACATAAATTCTACTGTACATTTTACAATGGATATATATCATGTCTTCTGAATATATGATGTATATTAAATTTGATAAATAAACATCTTAGAATTGCTATTATTTAGTACCTCCACCAGCAAACTGTTTGGAACTCACTTAACTGTGCAAATGTCAAATCAAATGATAGGTTGTTAATATGTTCAAGTGACTCAAGTATAAATAAAATTCATAGCATTGAGGGTGGACAGGGTGTCTTTAACTTGTCGGCCAACAGTTCAGTCCCGTCATCAGTCTTTTCTACAGGCAAGGCATGAAAAGGTCCTGCTACATTGTAGGTCACCGTAGGTGGATATCTAACATTGGTTTGCTTAGCATGTTTTCATTTAGAAATCAGTCTCAAGTGTGTAGGTTTATTTGACTGTAACTTTGATACAATCACAGAGGATGCAACAGAAACAGAATATTTTAATAACAGGTTAGGCATTAGATTGTATTCAATTTCCAATGAGTGGTGGTTGGTTATTATGTTTAACTAACGAGAGTAAGATAGACATGATAATCCACCATCACAAGTTTGGGGAGCTTTTTCTCCTGAAACCTTCAGATATTACATATGTTTTTCTTGGGAATCTCTAACTCCTGTTTCCATTTTGGGAAGCAACGGCCACGACCTATTATGTCACAATGGAAGATAACATCTCAAAGCATCGTTCGTTTTAATCATAATTAGATGATTGACCAATGAAAGAACATCCAGGGTGTTTACCAATTCCAATGAGTCCGGAGTGTGGAAACCTATAGTGGTTGTGGAAGAAATGTATATCATGTATTTACTTTGAATTTACAGAATCTTAAGGCTGTTTTTCTTCAAATTCAGGTATTCAGTCTCCAAAACCTGTCGGCTCTAATACGCACAGGTACGTATCACTGTGTCCTTTGGACATACAGACACAGCTGTAGAATTATCAGTAATCTATCCTCCTAAATTAATCTTCAAAGTTAAACACTGAATAAAGTGGATATTTTACTCATAGTTAGGTTCAATTACTGCACATATTTGGATACATTATCATCTCCAACAAAATTAGTTACCATACTTGCCAACTCTCCCTATTTTAGAGAGAGACCCTAAAATTGGGCATTTTCATCAAGTGAATTTGCTAAATTATTCTTATTTTCTAAGATCTGATGATTTCATCTGAAAGAACAGCTCAAAAGATGTCTTTCAAAAGTGTTATTTTTTCCTAGAGTGTACATACACACATTTTATTAATGTATTTAATTCTGACCACGCATAATCTCCCCCAAGGAAATTCTAAAAAGTATGAGTTAATGATTGATGATGTGTATCACAAAAAAAGGTAACAAAATGTTTCTATCTGTACATGGGAAATGAAGGTACTGTACAATAATGATGTGCTTGATTGAATATAGAAGAGAATCTGATGTGATTCTATAACAAAAGGATCTACTATGTCTTTGATTATGTATCCTGTAGCTGAGCGGGATCTTTGTTCCTCCCTGTACCGGTCACTACGATTGTCCCCGACCCACGACCTGGGAGGTAGTTATCTGTCCCAGGAGACCAACCTCAGCCTGCACACACAGATCTCCGAGCTAGAACGGTCTGGTTTCCAGTATTCTCCTCTGTTTGGGCCTGCGGCAGAACCAACCATGCTGGCTGTAGGTTTCATACACCAATTACATACACTTGAAACTTCTATCATTACATAGACTAAAGCCAATTTATGTGGCAGAATATTTGTGAATAATACTTATCTGAACCTTTAAAACATAGAGTACTGCAATTTATCAAATCAATGATTTTTTAGTCCATATATATTTCAGGCTTGACAAATTTGTTTTTTCTTTTTACATTGTAATGTAAAGGGTGTGTAATTAATCTTATTAATTTCGCCAAAAAACCACCTTCATTGTAACTATAGGTTGAGGTAAGCTAACTCCTATTACCATAAGTGTAGTTTTGTACACACTATATATTAGTGTCTGGGCCATTACAGGTAACTGATGTAATGAGACAGATATGCCAGGCCAAGACTACCATCACTAGTGTGGAATCCTCTCGGACAAAGGCATCAAAATCTGGACTGTCCTCACTCTTTGATATGTCTAGCTGGTTTGAGGACCAAAACAAGAGTTTTGGAGACCTCAGTGTTGCCGAGGTGAAGAAACTTCATAGTTACCTTGAGATGAGCATCAAAGGATTATGTAATGTATTTGAGGTTAGTACTTTTGAAAAATGTATTAAACTGTCTAAGACCAGGACTTTTTTTCAATCTGTCCATTTATTAAGTTTTGTTTAATATGAAAATCTTTAAGACAATAAGATATACTGGTGAATATTTGCCACAGTTATTTTTTTCTGCCATCCATTATGAGGACAAATTTGTCATGACAGCAGTAATTATTACAAAGAATACTGGACATAGCAAGTCCACTGTGATGTGTTCCTGTTCCTGTTCCCGTTCCTATGGAGTTAATTGGTGAAAGTTGAATACGTAAATATTAGGCGAAATATTCCAATTACACAGTACTCTATGACATAAATATTCGTGCATACTTCCTTCAACAGTTTTTCAGTCACAAACTCACTAATATAATTTAACTTGAACAGACTGCAGGTATGTTTGTACTTGAGTCAAATAAATTATTCCTACACTTCCTCATATTTCCACTGCAGCCACAAAAACTGCAAAAATAGAAATATAAAGTTCCCTGTTGTATGATTTGAGGACATTTATGGAATGTTGACCTTTACTGTCACTGACCCTCAAATCAAGGTTAAGGTCAAATTGAGGACAATTTGATGATGCTTCAGAGATGTCTACTAAATGATGTGCATATAATATTGTATGTTCTTTCTATATGTGTATTGCTAGTGTTCGGAAATGTCTCCATATTTCAAACTATATGTACTGTTTGTGTTGTGAATTATTTGTCCACGTATAACACAGTGTTTGTATTGTTAGCGGAAAGATCTTTTTGGGTACATATTTTACTCTACACCAAGTATTACATGAAGTTCTCGTTATTGATCAGATCCCGCCTGTAGAGTACCTGACCCACGGTATGTGCTCCTCTCCGTATGACCAGACATCAGTGTTGGGACAGACCTCATTTCTGGGCAGCCTGTCTGAGCCTGGGACACCCGACTGTGAGGATACAGAGGACGGTTTCAGACTTACACCACTCGGTAGATACCAGGTCAGTGATACAGGGAATGAACTGTGACCCTTGAACCAGCAAACCAGAAAAGAGTTCTTACAATGATATTACTTCTTTATAGCGACAGAAATATGACTTAAATTATAAAAAAATCCTTCTGAAAAGCTATTAAGTTTTGGATACTTTTTAATTACGTTTTTGTGGTAAAAAAATGTACCTATATATTTTTATATTTGTTTGTAATGACTTATATTTTTTGGATTGTAACTGGTAGTTAAGAAAGATAAAAACATTTTTATGAAAGTATGGATTAAGATTAAGTGTATTGTATAAAACATTTTGATATAAAATATCACTCCATCATTTCAAAAAATTGAAATAGGCATATTCATGCTATATGCTATAGTTTACATCACAAGCCCACCAAAATTGGTGCAAATTCTGTTATTGCCCTTTCTGTCTGTTTAAATAACCTTTTGACCAGTTATTCCAACAGTTTTTGACCAAATCTTTTGAGATTTGGTATGTGTGTGTTGAGAATCATATGAAAATGCATTTATCATAAAATGGGAATGCCAGTTAAATCTTTATGACAATCCTGGCCCTTTGTCAATAAAACTACACTCTGGAACCTTTCAATTAAATATTTTAAGATTTGGTGTGTTCTAAAATCAATGAAGCATCCACATAGTAACCTGTGATATGTAGTTCCCTTTTATTAGTTTTATATCTGGGCTTGAAATTCTTCCATATGCATTGCTCTTGTTGTATATATTTTGGTGGTGAATTGTTCTACAGAATACAGAGACAATGTTGCTGCAGTTTAACTTCCGCCTTTTTTGCCTCAGTGAAGGTGAATTTATGAAGAAAGCAAATATGAGTACACGATATACAATGAAATTTACACTGGGTGTAACACTGGGTGTATACGTAACACTGGGTGTAACACTGGGTGTAATACCGGGTGTACATGGATTTTATAGGCAAAGGGCGAATATTTTACTGGGTGTTAGTTTCCTGGTACCCGTATATAGTACGTACAAAATAAAAAAAGTATAAAAAAATGCAGCTTAATGCAATAATTGTTGAATTGTACAGGGCATGTGAACATGTTTCTTGCAGATGATGAATCGGATGAAAAAGTTTGATGTTGGTTACCAAGGGGACCCAGCCTTGCAGCCAATCAGAAGTTTTGAGAATGCCTTACTTGTACGCTTACTTCATCAGTTCTGCCTGTTTTTTAACACGCATGTAAGTACAGATCAGTGTGTTGTAGGTAAGGATAATGGGTGATAGGACATGTCCAGTGTATCCCCACACATAAAGTACAGATCAGTGTGTTGTAGGTAAGGATAATGGGTGATAGGACATGTCCAGTGTATCCCACACATAAAGTACAGATCAGTGTGTTGTAGGTAAGGATAATGGGTGATAGGACATGTCCAGTGTATCCCCACACATAAAGTACAGATCAGTGTGTTGTAGGTAAGGATAATGGGTGATAGGACATGTCCAGTGTATCCCACACATAAAGTACAGATCAGTGTGTTGTAGGTAAGGATAATGGGTGATAGGACATGTCCAGTGTATCCCACACATAAAGTACAGATCAGTGTGTTGTAGGTAAGGGTAATGGGTGATAGGACATGTCCAGTGTATCCCCACACATAAAGGTCTCTTTCAAGATATGGTCTCATCTGAAAACTCAGCCAAAAAAGCGGAGATAAAAATGCAGTTTGCAGTTTAATAAATAAGAATATATCAAGAACTATATGCCCCTCTTTTATGAGTGCACTAAATCTGAGTTATTTCCTAAATTATACATGTGAATTGACATTGCTCTTTGCAGAAACAATGTAAACTTGCAATAGCCAAATTTTAGTTTCGGTCAGGCATGTTTGTGTAAGTGCTGATTTCCAAAGGTCGGCTTGGTTCAGATCAGAGCCTGCCGTTCTTCGCAATTTATTATTTCATCAACCAGTAAAAAAAGGCAAAAGACATTAACAAAAACGTATATATACTTGTACTTGAATATCTGGGTCACTTTCATGTATACCACTTGAAACAGTTCAGGTGGTGTAAACACACGCACCTGGATGGAACTTACAGGCAGAGTTAAAAATGCACGGTTTCAGAGTTTTGTGAAAAAGCGAAAAAAACGAATCACTTGAAAATATATTTTGAACAGGCATGTAAAATTTGCGCCACGCCGAGATAACCTTTACTGGTCATTTTCATCACCAGCATTTCTTTTAATCTATCTGATTTGTTGTCAAATTCCACAAATTAGCATTTATTCTAAGATTTTTGTTTTCAGTTTCACTCGGAGATCCTGAACCTTTACTACAGAGAAGGAATCTTCGGGAAAATGTTCCAGGTGTATCTGTCCCCCCCACTCATGCCAGACAAAAATCTTAATTCACCGATTTCAAAAAACATGCAAAAGGAACTCGAAACACCAAGACTTAGTCTTCGCTTTTTGGCGAACTATCGTAACTTGATGTATCTAGGACTTGTGTATGTTTTCATGAGATTTCTGTTCGGACTCAGTCCGATAGGATACTTTTTCTTTCTGTTATTCTGTGGAATTGTGATCGGATTCCTTCGAGCGTTAGCACAACCGAGACAAATAGCACACCTACAAAGTGATACGTGATGGACAGATTCTCATATACTACAGTGATAACCGTGTCTCCTGGTACAAATAGGAGGTGATACAGGAGAGGCAGCTGGCTGTAAATTACTGACTAAGTTATGTATTCTGGGCATACACAGGAAGCAATGCATGAAATGCAGACTGCTGTAGACTACTGACCTGACTTATACAGCTGGAACATAGATGATTCACAAAAGGCAGACTGCTGTAGACTACACTTCCATCTATCATAGAGCCCTGATTGCTGGTAGGACTAACTGTGGCTTGAATATATACTAGACAAGAAAATGTTGATATTTTCGAAACCTTACAGTACGTGTTCATCCAGTGGTAGTGACAACACAGGTCAGTCAGATACGTACTGAATCACCTGAACAGTTAGGGCTCTCAATCACAGACAGCCAATGATGTCACCTGGACAGTTAGGGCTCTCGATCACAGACAGCCAATGATGTCACCGGGACAGTTAGGGCTCTCGATCACAGACAGCACAATGATGTCACCCGGACAGTTAGGGCTCTCAATCACAGACAGCCAATGATGTCACCTGGACAGTTAGGGCTCTCAATCACAGACAGCCAATGATGTCAACGTGCACAGTTAGGATTGCTGTAGACTTAGGAACAGCGACAGATCAAGGTTGTTGTGATTTCAGTCACATAGACAGTTGTGCTTAGAGTACCTATTCATGGGTTTAGTTACTTGTATCATCAAAACCAGAGTTCAAATCGAATCCAGGAAGCAATCTGTGATGAATTTTTTTTAATTCATAGACCTTCTGAATGCCAAAAATAAAAACAAACAAAAACCAATTTGATTCAAATACAAGCTAGCTAATGGCCACTGTATAATTATAAACAGTGTATTTACTACTGCTGAATGATTCAAATTCAGATTTAAATTAAAACCATGGAATATATTATTTGATTATGAAAGGAACAATGCTGACATTACTGTTACTTAATTGTTTAAATGAGTTTCTGTTATTTGGAGTAATGTTGTGGTTAGAGTGATTAACAAGCTTATATCATATACCTAACAAATAACAACAAAATACTCCTAGTATACTGTTCACCTTGAAAATGTTCACCAGTTTAACTTTTCGCCCTCCATAATGAGGTAGAATTTATAGTAATAGCAAACATTAGTATATATAAACTTTATTTATTTTACAACAATTATGAAACAAATTTTCACAACTTATATTAATCACTCTTGTTGCCCGGATGGTCTTAATGTGGGAGGAAACCAGAGTACCTGGAGAAAACCCATGTGGTCGGGCAGGTGACCCCATATGTTTTTCACGTCCGATCATGGAATCGAACCCTCGACGCCTTGGTGAAAGGCAAGTGTGCTATCCACTGCGCCACCAGACCAACCCATTACACCACCAAACATTAGTAGACAGCATCATTAATAATTAATAATCAAATGTGAAGGGCAGAATTAGCACTGGATGGATATGGATTGTGTAGCTAGGGTGAAAGTTTCCCGTTATACAGTAGATGTAAGTGATTTAATCTACAACAAATCATCTGTGTTGACAGTATTTATTTTTATAATCAACTTTGTACACATGAGATATCTAATATGTATGCAGAGTAAATGTTTAGTTTGTATGAGGTGAGAATTGATACATGTATGCTTTATATGGCTTTACAGTTCTTGAAACAGGAGATATGAGCAGAGAGGTTGCAGGAGTATCATAAAGTGGGAAAAGATACCAGGTGGGAGAGTTGGGGAAGAGATAAAGTGGGAAAAGATACCAGGTGGGAGAGTTGGGGAAGAGATAAAGTGGGAAAAGATACCAGGTGGGAGAGTTGGGGAAGAGATAAAGTGGGAAAAGATACCAGGTGGGAGAGTTGGGGAAGAGATAAAGTGGGAAAAGATACCAGGTGGGAGAGTTGGGGAAGAGATAAAGTGGGAAAAGATACCAGGTGGGAGAGTTGGGGAAGAGATAAAGTGGGAAAAGATACCAGATGGGAGAGTTGGAGAAGAGATAAAGTGGAAAAGAACTATGTTTTTCAGTGTAGATACTACATACACATGTGTATTTTTATCAAGTACAAGTCCTCCATTAATAAGATGTAACTTATCACATGTAATAAAGGTTGACTTCAAAAGGCTAAGTTTTAAGAAAATGCTGATGAATTCAGACATAATTAAAAGCGTACCAGTATACTGCTGTTTGCTGTTATGTTTTGTAATAAATAGCTGAAATTAATTAACAATTGTAATTTTGCTACATAAAACATTTTTTTAAATTATTTCTTTGTTTTTTCTCTCAACAATTGCCCCGAATGTTTTATTGATGCACATGTCTTGTTATTCCGTCTTTGCATATTGCAGAGTTATCTTCTCTTGTGAGCAGGTATTGATTGTTACGTCATTGGTTTGTGAGAGTAACGTCATCAATTTTTGAGAAAACAACGTAATTTTCTCACACAAACCAATGACGTAACAATCAATACCTGCTCACAAGAGAAGATAACTCTGCAATACGCAAAGACGGAATGGTCAATCTTTCTGTAGTCTAAATGGAAAGCATCCTGTGGAATGTTTTTGTCAGCCAGACTTTATAGACAGGCTTAGGGTAAAACGGTACATGGTATGTGTAGCAAGAAGATCAAATTTTCACGATGGAGCCCATTTTTACACAGATATCGTTCACAAGAAATTTACCAGCAACCCAGGTATGACAAAATTCTGAGAAACAAGACCAGAAGGAAAATACAAAACCTGCCACAAAGCTGTGAACTGACAAATATAACTCAAAACAGACTATTATATCATCGTTTTATTGTAAAAATTTACAACAATGGATTTAAATAAGTACTGATTAACATATCTGTCTTCAATATCTTGTGTAGTACAATTGCATAAACAAAGATTACATAACTGCATCGTATACATATATATACATTCATATGTAAGATGTATATAAAAACATTATACACTGTTCATGTACTTGTATATCTGATAATAGTGTACATATCGTAACACTTAGTCTGATCTAATAAACACGTAAATTGATACTGTGAGTCGGTATATACACCGAGTCTGGTCTATAAGAAATATGTTAGTTGATACATGTATCGGTATATACCCTGGAATATTATATGGAATCATTATTATAAAGATTGGGACAGCATTAGCTGGGTTAAGTACATGCTATTCTATCAAAAGTGGATAATTTTTAAAAAAAAATCTGACTTTTGCTACATTCTCATTACCCTGCGACAGTCATAAAGGATATGATTTGAAAAAAACAAAAATGCTATAAGGCTTCACAGTACTGGTATTCAAGCAGAGAAAGGCAGAAAATTCACACTAGAAAACTGGATGACCTGAGAATTTGCTCCCATTGTTGCTATGGTTACAGTGGAATTAATACTTTGTACTCACTAGCACTATAAAAAAACACAAACATTTTAGGGTAATCTGAATTTTAAATGCATTAGTAGACCGGGAAAGTTTATATCAACAAATGTATATGGTTTGTAAACTTATTGATGCAAAAGAAACTACCCAACAAATGCTCTACCACGATACCTGGTGTTCCATCAACCTCGTTAACACAACTTGTACACATCCATTCTTCACAATAATCAAAAATCAAACATAACTTTATTTACAAAATAAAACAACTTGCATCAAAAAAAATTAACAAAACAATTCCTGTTAGCTAGGAAGATATTACAAACCTGGCTGTATAGGAAACCTCAATGTGATGGTTGTGACAGCAACTGTATGTAGCCAGTAATCATGGCAACTGTAGAACATGTTTGCTGTAAGGACTTTTTCATATTTCAAGGTGGAAGACAACTGTCACAATATATAATGCAGTACTTTCAGTTGGCCCTCGATATTTAGCAATTTCGAAAGTCAAATAGAATATCCCCTGTATTCTAAAGAATTACAACATGTCAAACAGACCTTTCCTTTAAAACCTAAGAGTTGGGGCTCAGTTTGGGGAGTCTTCTGAAAGTCCTAGTTAGGAATTGTGAGGTTAAGTCCAGTCATTCAATTCTTTATATTGAATCAGTTTCAATATTTGATGGGTGGTGGATCCTCTGAAAAGTTCTGCAGATCCCTTTTTTCACCCCTCCAGTTTTGTCTGTACTCAAAACTGGTGTCTTGAATATCAAGGCTCTGCTTTACCATAAAACGTAAGTTAGTGCCCTGAACACTAGAAGAAAAGCTACACTAGCCTCTCTGGGACCATTAATAGACATTGTTAACATAAAAGATTGAATATATCACCAACCATCTTTACAAAGACCTCTGTATATAGAAATGTCATTAAACCTGTGATCACGTTATTTTAGTGCCAATAGTATTTTAGCCAATGTTCCAATGACATAAGCCCTTGTTGCATAAACCTAACATGAAGTAATATTTCTTATTTCAACAGAAACAGTGTCTATATCATTTTCATCAATACTTTAATTATACTTCGCGACTGGGTAATTCAAAACTTAAGTTAACAAAACCATATTTTTGTTTCATGATAAATAAAATATCATTTTAACTTGTTTTTATGGTTTCTGTGGGGGAAAAAATTACACTGCATTTTTTCAGGAATGCAGACAATATAAATTCCAATCAATGTCGCGTAGCAATGATGTAGACGTCTATTTGTGTCGTCAGCAAAAACCAATATGTTGATAATTTTCTAATATCACCTTGATCAGTGATTCTTTGTTATAGAAATTATCAACAACAACGAAACAATGGAAATTGAAGAGGAGCTAAAAATGTTATTGGTCTAATATACCAGTAAAAACATGATTATCATTACAGTGTACTCCACTCCGTTATACCCAGGAATTCCAGGATAAAATATCACATCAACAATCACAGAATCATATCTTTATTGATGAGCAGTTTTGTTAATAATTCTGTATAGTAATAAGTAACACCTTTAACTATGCTACTGTAAATCATAGCCTGGTTATCTTGTCCGCGGGGGGAGGCTGCATAAATTATCTTTGTTATGATGAACAAAAGGCTTCATTAGGTAAATACCAGATCTTGGATACCCTTATGATTTAATTTGTATTTAATTTCAATGCAAATCATTGAATTACAGTTAGTGGAATTATGGATCAATTCCCAATAATAAATCGCAGGAAATAGCGGGGGAGACTTGAACAAATTAATGTAAAATTTAAGATGATTTAGTGTCATAAGTATAAAGTAACAGTGCAGTTCCAATGTGCCACAAAGTTCAAACATCACCCCAGACAAACATGTGCTACTATTGTATATACCTAATGCATATGAACAAATAAGCTTCGCAAATCTTGGTACAGTACTTTTCACATTTTTTTCCAATTGGTCACATGGGATTGATTTTCAAACTTTACAACAGTAACCATAAAAAGTTGCTGTGTAAGCATCGAAATTGAGAAACAGCTTCCCTTTACAAAGAATAGGTGAATGTGGAGATAAATACAGGTTATTGGCCAGATGTATGAGCTGTCCACATAATACCAATCCTAAAGCTAACCAGGCTTTGATTTACTCGTCCCAGAAATTTGGTCACATGATCAACTTGTCCTCGGGAAGATTGCTATGACTGCGCCATTTGTCGTCGTTTGGTGGCAAGGTAGACGGTCCAAACCAAGGCGAGGGCGTTACCAAACAACACACGGTACTGAAACAAAATATAAACATATATAAACACATAGTGCTGTAAAAGGAGGTTACTTTGACCTCAGTTTGCAATTAGACCTTTGACCTTGACCTAAATCGCTAAATTATGGTTTCTGGAACAGATCTCAGCCGTTGTTTCATGAATTGGCATCAACTTTTGTACAAAGGTACATCATGGGAAGGCATTGTGTTGCATTCTTAATGTAACAGTGATATAATAAAGCCATACTCACTTTGAGAGGGAAATAGTTAATGTAACAGGGTATAATAAAGCCATACTCGCTTTAAGAGGGACATAGTTAATGTAACAGGGGTATAATAAAGCCGTACTCACTTTGAGAGGGACAGTCAATGTGACAAGGGTATTACAAAACCATACTCACTTTCATAGGGATATAGTTAATGTAACAGGGGTATAATAAGGCCATAATCACTTTCATAGGGACATAGTTAATGTAACAGGGGTATAATAAAGCCATACTCACTTTCATAGGGACATAGTTAATGTAACAGGGTTATAATAAAGCCATACTCACTCCATAGGGACATAGTTAATGTAACAGGGGTATAATCAAGCCATACTCACTTTCATAGGGATATAGTTAATGTAACAGGGGTATAATTAAGCCATACTCACTTTCATAGGGACATAGTTAATGTAACAGGGGGATAATAAAGCCATACTCACTTTCATAGGGACATAGTTAATGTAACAGGGGTATAATAAGGCCATACTCACTCCATAGGGACATAGTTAATGTAACAGGGGTATAATAAAGCCATACTCACTTTCATAGGGACATAGTTAATGTAACAGGGGTATAATAAGGCCATACTCACTCCATAGGTACATAGTTAATGTAACAGGGGTATAATAAAGCCATTCTCACTTTCATAGGGATATAGTTAATGTAACAGGGGTATAATAAAGCCTTACTCGCTTTCATAGGGACATAGTTAATGTAACGGGTATAATAAAGCCATACTCACTTTCATAGGGATATAGTTAATGTTGATGAATTGGAATATGGTCCAGACTCTCCAGTTCATTAGTAACACAGGCAGGAATGTTTCTTTTATCTTCTTAACAGCTGCTGCATGTCCGCTCCCCTGGTACAAATATAACCAAAGCTATACAAAGTGTACACTTTCGAGATTTCTTTTAAGTATTACTGTAAGGTTCTGCAGCTTTTCACAGATGAAATTCTATACCACACCTGCTAGAACCAGAATTACTAAGCAGTAAATTCATCTGTATGAATGCACCAGAAAGATTTATCCCAACCAATAATTTGATTATTTTTAAAAATTGCTTTTAAATAGCGATATGACCAAGCAAAAAAAAAAATATATCAATGTAAAACCCTCTTCTCAACAATTAACAAATTGTGATAGCAACAAAATGGATATTTATTGTTGTTTTAATGAAATATGAGTGAATTGCATAGCTTGCTCTAACTAAATTATTAAGTTAGTGAAAAGGTGCTTGAAAGGGAAAGTGAGGGAAAAGGAATGAAGGAGGCAGAAGGAGTGAAAATTGTCTTTGTTCAAATCTAACTTTTCCCATTTGATTCTTTACAATGTAGCAACTAAGGAGCAACATCTATTTTTTATTTATCTATATATCTACACAGCTGGTTACTATATCTAGACCTCATGGTCCACCAGGGCTGGCTCAACACTGACACTCCTTACAAAGGCCATCTTTTTTAACTCGTGCACATGAAATTCATGAAAATCTTTTTGTATCAGGGTCAGAAAAGTACAAGACTAAACCTACACATCCAAATCCCCTTTATATACTTTGTAAACAGCTTTATTAAGCAGTGTACCAGTAGGTGGACATTGAGGATATATATATATAAGTTTTAAGCAGTGTACCAGAAGGTGGACATTGAGGATATATATATATAAGTTTTAAGCAGTGAACCAGTAGGTGGACATTGAGGATATATATATAAGTTTGAAGCAGTGTACCAGTAGGTGGACATTGAGGATATATAAATAAGTTTGAAGCAGTGTACCAGTAGGTGGACATTGAGGATATATATATAAGTTTTAAGCAGTGAACCAGTAGGTGGACATTGAGGATATATATATA